CAGGCCTGTTATGAATTTTCTTTCAAGTATCACTCTCTTACATCTTCTAGATGAGCAGAAGGGAGCCCTGAGCTGCCATTCTGCTTACTGGTTTCCTTGGAGACACACTCCTGAAGGAGATTTGTTTGCAGGATTGTTATTGTGGGAATTTGTAGTGCAGATCCTGGGTGTGGGAGCTGGAGCAGGCCCTGTTTGCAGTCCCAGGGCTGTGGTGGGGCTTTCCTGACAGCCCATGCTGCTGCTGCAGCTCCACAGTGAGCGATTTTTCCTTTCCCTTGCACAAACCCCAGGGAGCAGTGAAGTGCAGAGGCTGGGGCTGTGCTGTTGGAGGCTGTTTGGTTCTTTGTGGGTGCTTTAACCTCTGTCCATCCCCAGCCCCGAGGCTGCTGACAGCACGTCCTTCGATGTCCAGCTGGGGGACATCATCCTGACTGCCACAGACGGACTGTTTGACAACATGCCTGACTACATGATCCTGCAGGAGCTCAAAAAGCTGAAGGTGAGTCTGTGTGTTCTCAGGCTTTCACATATTTTGTGCTGGCTGAACCTTTACAGTTACTTCCTTTGCTTCTGATAGCTGAAACCTTTGTGTTTTATTAAAAAACCTTGCCACAAAGCTCAGTATCCTTAAAAGGCTTTTCAGGTGATATCCCATGGGAGCAGTGAGGGGACATTGACCCCAGAGAGCTTTCTCTTGGATCTGCATCCAGGCTGAATCCAGAAGCAGCAGCTTGGGCATGAATTCCCAAATAACAGCTGGTTCCATGTCAGTAACTGCTGAGGGAGGGAGAGGAGCAGGGAAGAGGAGGAGGAGGTAGCAGGGGCTGCCTTGGGCCACACACTGCACCTGCAGGTTGGAGGTGATACACAGGAAAATGGAGAAGCCTCTCCTGGGTTACTTGAGGGTGAGCTTACACTTAAAGTAACTTTCAGCTTCTCTAACCAGTAATTCTGACATATTATGGGCTGTCTGAATTGTGGGTTGCACGTGCTTGAAAATCTTCAGTGTTCTGTAAGAAAAAAATCCTGTCAACTTTTCCACATTAGTGACCACAAATGTTCTTTTTAAATAGTAAGAATACATTAAAATATTTTAACTTTATGGCTGAGAACATTTAGCTTCAGGCTATTTACTTACAGAAAGGAAAGTACACTTAAGGAGATATCAATATGTATAAATTCCTGGAGGAAACCATTTTGCTGTGAAATGCAAATAAGAGCATTACAGTGTGGTTTCAAGAGAATTTGGCCTCCTCTTATCCTGCAGCTACACAGGTCACTGATGTGTCACTGGGGCTGCAGCCACCTCACACCCTTGGCTGTGCTCAGAGTGGGGCTGTCCTGGCTGCCCACTGGAGCTGGAATTCCCTTGTGGAAGAAAGCTGAGCTCCACCTTTTGGTGTGTTTGGGAAAGGCACTGGAGTTCCCCAAGAGGTTCAGCCAAAAGTTAATCACATAAATGCCTGCTAATTCCCAAACCTGCGGGGAAGGCTCTTGAAATGACAAGGCATTTAAAAATGGTTACAGACAAAAAGAGCAGTGGCTGTCTGTCATGTTGGCTGGAGTGAGAAAAGCCTGGGAAGAAAGCAGCAGAATTACTGAAACAAGGAAAAAAAGTCCTTAAAATGCAGCCTGGAGAAAGTGTGTGTGCTCTCAGTGCATTTTTGTCATCTGAATTTAAAGTGCCCCTTCTCCCCAAGGGTGTTCTTGTCAGCTGGGGTGAGAGAGCCAGAGGTGCAAGGCTTGCACTCAGGATAAAACAAATACTTCACTAGAGCCTGTTTGGGAGGGAGGGAAGGGCCCTGCAGGGTGCCTGCAGGGACAGCTGCCAAGTGCCCTGTTCCCTTCAGGTGACATAGTTCAGTCTGTTTTGAGTATTATTCTTCTAAGCTTCTGAATTCTGGAAATCCTCCAAACCCAAGTCTGGAGCTGCTGGTGGGGATTTGAGGTCTGGCTGCCCCTGGTGAAGATCCACAGTTGTAACCCAATTTCCAAAGCCTAAAGAATGGGGAAGGCTCTGTTTGCAGGGGAAGGTGATAATTAATGACTCGGCACTGAGGGATCTCCAAACCTGACACAGATCAGCACAAAACCTTCTGTAGCCTTCTGTACAAGAGTAAACTCTTTTCCTCATGAATTTAGAACTCCAACTACGAGAGCATCCAGCAGACTGCACGGAGCATTGCTGAGCAAGCCCACGAGCTGGCCTATGACCCCACGTACATGTCACCCTTTGCACAGTTTGCCTGTGACAATGGATTGAATGTCAGAGGTAAGAGCTTCTCCTCCTCCCACTGCTGCTGTCCTGGAGAGATCTTTAGCAAAGTGAAGTTCTGCTGTTCCAAAATCCTGTAGGAAAACAGAGCAGTGGGAGATGTGGTTGGCAGAGAAGCACCAAGCTCATGTGGGATTTGGCAAAGCCCCCTGAGCCCAGCAGGGCAGGAGCCTCCTGGGGGGAAGCAGCTGGAGCACAGAGAACACAGTGCCCTGATTGTTTTATTTTTACTGTAATCTGTGCATTCCTGCCCAGGAATCCTGCCTGAGATGAGCTCTCCAGTACTCCTGTACAGGACTTGTTGCTTGGATTCGGGTGTGTGGGTGGTGTTGTGTGAGGGTAGTTTTTTATTTCATTTTTTTAAGGTCTCTTCTTACTGCTGTGTTTCAGCTGAGGTTCTGCCCACTCTTTGGTAGATTTGGGATTGGTTTTTTGGTTGAAATTTGCAACTCTTACAAAATTGGCATCCTCATAGTGATCTCTCTGTTGGTTCTACTTCTGTGTTTTAGAAAGGTACTGGCAAAACAGCTGGCAGAGCTCAGAGCCTGAGCAAACACCTTCCTTTTAACATTTTTTTTACTTTAAAATAAAAAAATTCTGCCAGTAAAGATGTTCTCATCTCTGTATGAGAGGGGCAGGATTTCCTGCAAGAACCTTAAGCCCCTTTCCTCAGGTAGCAGCTGTCACACTTGGGCTCTGTGTTGCTCCAATTTCAGTCACTCAGTAGTGAGGCTGCAGATCACCAGAGTCCAAGGGATTGATTTGACTTCCCACATAATAAAACCTCTCTTCTGGGCCATTTCTCCAGGATTTGAGTGTGTTGCTCTGGCAGTTGAGGATTGGAAAATAACTATTAAAAATGTTAAGAAGCTTTTAGGAAGACCTGAGGTAACACTGTGCTGGAGAAGATGCTAAAGAGGAGCTTGATTTACAATGGAAATTCCTGAGGAGATCTGATTTCATGGCAGTTTACATGTAACAAAGCAGTGTCAGGTGTTTTGTGCATTTATTAAAGAGTCTGCTGGAAACAGGCTTTGAGCTCTGCCAGCTACCAGCAATGTTCAAGGTTCTGACCTCCTTTTCATAGTTTGATCTCACTGGAGCTTAAAAGGAGAGTGGTTTTGTGCTGTGGTAAATGTCACCGCGCCCCTCGGTTTGGAAAGGAGGTGGGGGAGGCAGAGTTTGTGTCTACTCAAACCAGGTTTTGGACACTTTAGAGCTTTCCACGGGGAATATCACAGATCATCAGAAGACAGCCCGCTGTGGTTTGATGAAATGAGAGGTTTTTGCTTCCATTGCAGGGGGGAAACCAGACGACATCACCGTCCTCCTTTCCATCGTGGCCGAGTACACAGACTGAGGGGCTGCCGAGCCCCGGCCGGGTTCCTGCTGGCAGGATTGTTCCTTCCTTCCTTCCCAGCTGCTCCGGCCCTGAGCCCGGAGCCTGGCCCGAGACGCAGCTGAGGCCCTTGCTAAGAACCACTCGTAGTCCACTGGTCTTGGTCTGCCAGCAAGAGATGAAGAAGCTCAAGGCTTGGAGCTTGTCTTTGAGAGCTTAGTCCTTGTCCGGAACAGGGGAGGATCCATCCCCCAGCGCTGGAGATGTGACTTCCCAAGGAGTGGGATTGTTGGTCACCTTTCAAACTAGATCAGTAGGTAACGCCTCTGCACCAGGGCACATTACTCTATTTCCTAGAACGTTCGCTGTTGTTGAGGGTGTGTTACAGACCCAGTTCCATAAAGCATAGTCTTGTTCCAGTGATAGCCGAGGTTTCGTGTTTCTGAGCTCCGGTTTTCAGGAGATTTATAACTGCTGTAAACATTCTGCTCTTGCCATCCATGGTGTCAGCCTTAGGAGCCTTTTCTAGTACGAGATTTCAAACAAACCTAGTTCAAGTTATATGGATGCAAATGTGTTTTGTGATTTCAGGTGCTTAACTGTGATCTTAAAAGTTCTGCAGATCATTCGTCCATAATGGGCCTGGTTCTGGATGTTTTGGCTGTGGATAATTTTTTTTTTTTTAAAAACAAAAATTCTAGCTCAGTCTCAAACAGCCGAGCTGGCCACAGTTGAGGTCTTTCAGCATTTGAACCCATCTCAGCGTGGGGTGATGGTGAATGCTACGGTGGGAGGTTGCACAAAACAGCTCATCCTCAACTCCGAGCGTCTTCACTTTGGGTAGATAATTCTGTTGTTGATATAAAAACATAATTTGTGTTAATAATTGCCACTCTCGCTTGTAGAACAGAATATGCTGCACCAGTTTAAGTCCAGTTGATCCTTTCTGACTCCAACAGGCACCTCCTTGCTTCTGCTGCGGCAGTGCAGCAAGTACGAAAATGGAAACTTAATGAATAATCAAAGCAAAGCCTACATTTCATTTGAACTAAAGTTTAGGGGTTTCAATGATCCTTAATGATGTTTACAGTTATCTAACAGCCACTTTGCAATATGACATTTCCTTTTCAATGACAGTAGCTCACGTTTGTCCCCCCCTTTTCCAGCCAGCTTTCCTTTTCCTTTCCTGAGGCTCATATGAAAGCTGAGAGCTGTAAAGATATATATATTTTTGGTCAGTTTTTCATTAACTTTTTTGCTGGTAGAGAAGTATGTAGAAATAAATTAAAGCCATGTTTTTATATATAAAAAGTCGGGTAATGTTGCTGTTTAGGTGAGTGCAGTTAAACTTGGTCAGTAAGGAATCTTGCCTGCTCTCAAGAGGAGATTTTTACTACCTGGTTTATTGTATTAAAACTGTTTAAGTTTGAGGTTACCTCAACTTGTTTAAAGAATTTTTGTGGACTTGTACTGTATATTTGCGTAACAATGTCAAGCTTTTATTTAAGGTCATTTAACATGTACCGTGTACATGTCATTTTACTATATTTCAGTGCATCATGCTTGTAACAGGCATTTCATTTATAATAAGTGATTAATTTGGGAGCTCTTCAGTAATTTATCTGCTATTCCTCAATTGGCATAATGTTAGGTATCTACTTTAAATCACCTTGTAATTACTTGTCAAAATGCCTTAACTACCCTAACTTGACCAAAATAGGATTTTGGTGAGGGTATGGGGAGGATTATATTAATGAAGAAAAATCAATTCGTTTTGCGACACACGAACAGTGAGTGGTGGAGAACTTTGCACAACCTGTCAGTCCTTGTTGTTTTTAACCTGAACAAGCTGTCTCTGGCTGTCTCGGAGGAATGTATTCACATGCAGAACAGGGCTTTGTTTCTTGTTTGGGAGGGGCCTTGCTCTCCCACCCTGGGTGTCTTTACATTTATCCAGTATTTACTCGCACGCTTCTGGATTAGAGCAGATTTGATCAATTCTTCTTTTCCTTTGCCCTTCCCTTCAGGCAATGCCCCCGTGGCCCTGGGCTGTTCTCTGCTCTCAGCACAGTCCCCAGCCCTCCCTGTTCCCCTTCCTGGCTTTCCAGAATTTTCCCTGGGGACTGTGTGGGTCAGGGGTCTGGAATTCCCCAATTCCCGCTCCTCCCTGTCTGTGTCCACAAAGCTGTTTGCCTCATATCACACCATGACCTGTTGGGTTTTTTTAAATAAAGAACAAATTTGGGTTTTGAGTTACAAAATCATGAGTTTTTCCCTCACCGGGCACACCAAAGACCAGTAAAGCTTTTAGCTTTTCCATCTGTTTATAAAGCAATACTGTATTATAAAGAATTGATATTTTTATCACATGCTTGATTGTTTTGGGTTTTTTTTAAGACGTGCACTCTGAACATATCAAACCTGATTTTTTCCTATGAACTTAACGCTGTCTGCGCACAACTGATCTTTGGAGAAGGAAAGGACAGGGCCCATCCTATCAAAAACAATTCCAGCGATGCATGGAGCAGTAACACTTGCTAGGGTTAGGTCAGTGGGAATGTTCACGAGAGGAATGTACAAGAAAGGTGTTTGCTGAGCACGAGCTGCCTTGGAGCTGCTGCAGGGGGCTGTGGTCGGTGTTGGGAGCTGCAGGATCTGGAGGAACGGGAGGAGCTTGGCCCCCAGGAGCCTGGGGTTGCTCAGCAGTGGGGATGGGGACGGAGAAGCTCTGTGCTTCTTGCTGTTTTCATGGCTATCTTTGGGAGAGCTGCCACATACAGTCCTAAATGTCCTTTTCAGGCTGAAAACAAAACCAAACCAAAAAGCAGATTTGGGACCAGGCAGTTACAAGTGAGTCGAGGAGGAGGGAGAGGTGATGGTCTGGCAGGGATGGGAGGATTCAGTGATGGAACATCCTTTCTCCAGGGGAGGAGCAGCTGCTGTGTGGAGAACCCGACTGTATGCAGTAGTTTCTGACAAAGATAGCTGAAACAATGAAGCAAATCTGAGTCTGTATCTGAGGATGCTTTTTTGTTGCTGTTAAAATGAGACTATCATCTATGCTTACCCAAGAGGCAATTATGTGAATTTCATGTCTGAGGTATAACTTATGCAGGAATAGTTCTGTAAATACATTTAAATAAATTGTAAAGATATTTAATAAATATAGTATTTATACTAAAATGTGCTTTTTAAAGTCCAGTTGCCTGCAAACCCTCTGTTTGTTGATGTGGGGATGTGGTTGGTGGCAGAGGCACAGCCAGGGCCGGGGGGCTGGGCTGTCACTGTGACCTCCCTGCACTGCTCTCAGAGCCACACCTGAGTGACACCCAATGCCTTCTGCAGAGTCTGGCAGACAGGTAATCCTTGAATTGACTGGGAACTTCAGTGTTGTGTTCCAGTGTGACTTTGGAAGTACTGCACTGCCCCTGAGGTGTGGGGGGAGAGACTGGGGGAAGGAAAAGAATAATGCAAAGTCTGAAACTCAAACCTTTATTTTTTTTAAATGCAGTCCTGTGACAAGTTTGGTTTTTCAGTTAAAAGCTGGTTCCAGAGAACCTGTAAAAACCTGAGTTCTCCCTTAAGCAGAACAGAGGCTTCATTTGCCTGATGTGGTAACAGAGTTTGAACTGAAACTGAGCCTCTCTCCAGTGAGAGTGTTCTGAGAGCAGAACCCCCAGCAGCTCCTGCAGAACACACAAACCTCAACGGAGTCAATGGTGACCTAAATTTGTGCCATTGCAAGAGCACTGACAGTTCCAGAGCATTCTGTGCTGCTGGGTCACAGCACCAGTGACAAAGGCTGGGCCTGCCCTGCCCTGCTGGGCACTCCCCACTGTCTGTCCTTGGAGCCCAAGGCCTGCACTACAGAACTGGGGAGCTCTGCAAGGCACCCAGCTCCTCCTCAGTGTCACTGGCTGTCACCAAGCTCTGGAAGGTGTCACCAATGGCCTCCTTCTCCTTGTAAGAGACAGCTCCAAAGAATAAGGAGTGGAACTGGAAAATGCAATATTTGTCCAGGTAAGAATTCTGTGATACAGAATTTGGGCATTAATTATTTGTGAAGCTTTTGCCACTTTAAGATCTTTCTCAGCTAGCAGCGTTTCCCAGTGAAACCCACCTGCCCCCAGGAGTGTTCCCAGCAGGGCTGGGGTTTTCCAGCTGTGCTGCTGTGCCAGCTGATCCCACTGAAACCCCCAAGTGCATGTGGGGGTGCTCAGCCCAACAGCAGCTCTGGGGTTCCACTGCTGGCACCGTGGGCAGTTCCCTCACCTTGGCATAAGGAGCCTCTGTGGCCTCTCCTCCAGCTGCCTGGGCCGTGGCTGCTCCTGCTCTGCCTGGCACGTCCCTCTCTGAGCCTCTGGGAATATTTTTTACCTCTTGTTTTGCCAGACCACTTGGGGGTGTTGCAGGGTCCGTGCTCGGAGTGCTTCCCTTCTGCTGTGGCTTTCTGGAAGCAGCTGTGCCTGTGTTGCTGGCTCCATCCATGGAGGTCTGGTCACATTTATCCATGCCAGTCCTTGAGCTGGATGGGACAGAGTAGGGCAGGTCAGAGCTGGCTTTGTGTTTCATTGGAATATGCTTAGTTTCTGTTTGTGAAAAGATTACAGCTTTAGAGGAAATTCTCAGCAGCTTCCCTCCTGCTGCACCCACACCCCGTGGAGAAAGCAGCAGCTTGTACAGAGCGTTCTCTCTGTACCCCCTTATTGCTTTGTGCTGCTGAGATGTTCCTGAACCCTGCAGTTCAGTTTTCCTGTGAAAAACCTGAGTTTTTCACCCTCTTAAGGCCACGTGCCCCCTCAGCCCCCGTTACCTGTCCCAGGGCCGTGGGCAGCAGGCAGGCTCTGGGGGAGCTGCCTCCTCCTCAGCCTCACACAAGGTGGCCAGGATAAAGCTGGCCTCCAGCAGCAGGTCCTCAATGCTGAATGCAATGGGCCTAAACACAAGAATTGAGACCTGTGATTCCACCTATGGAATTAAAAAGCACCTCCTCTGAAAAGCTGGAAATCTGTATTTGCTGCTGAGGAATGAGAGAGGGGCTCCTGTTACAGATCTCACTGCTCCAATCAGCAAATGCTGTGCAGTGTCAGAGTCAAATGATAGCATTAAATATGTAATTATTACAATTATATTTATTCAGTAAATGTATTGTTTCTTTAAGTGCTAAATAAATAAATCATTGCCTGCAGGGGACTGAGAGCCTCAGGTGTCCAGGTAATTTATACACAGGAGCTCATCAGTCAGCAGCTGCCTTGGCAATGCCCACGCCTGGGTTCAGTGTTTGTCTGGAATTACAAACTGGAGTGCAGGCTGGAAATGGCTTTGAATGAGGAGCTGCAGGTCAGTGTTCAGGGGGACTGCAGCCCCACCAGGGCAGCTGCACTCGTACCTCCCACATCTGTCGAAGTGGATGGACACGGGAGCGCTCGTGGCTTCGGAGAACGCCAGCAGGCCCTGCAGGGGGAGGCGTGGAGTGCTCGTTAGACCACAATGACTCTGGAATGTGAGCTTATCCCAGCTGCTCCTTACTGGCAAAAAGAGGGAAAACTGCTGCTTCTAAGAATGAGTTCTGTCCTGCCCTGCCAGAGCCTTCCAGAGGAGGTTCTGCATGGAGAACTTCCCTGGTCACGATGCCTTCCCTGGGGCAGCTGTGCTGTGTCTGCCCAGCACAGAAACCTCTCCTCTCTTTCAGAAGTGTTTTGTTTGCCTTTCAAATGATCCTGGGGTTTAAAGCCAGTCCTCACCCAGGTGAAACCCTGCTGCAGTCAGGAGGGCTGGTGGGGCACAGCCCAGGGCCACTCCACAGGACCATCCTGTGTTGTCCTGGTGCAGTCAGGCAAATTAATGAAAAATGGGTTTTCTTCCCAGACAAATTCTTACTTTACCCTCAGTTCTTTAAGGCAAAATGTCACTTCAGAATCTACTCCAACTTGAAAGTAGTCAAATTCCTCTGGACTGAGCTGTATCTCAGTAAGCATTGTCCTTGAAAAGTCTGTTTGAGATAACAACAAAGGCAGGGACTCACTGCAGTGAAGTTTGAACTCAACACTGTGATTGTAACCCTGAGGTTTTTACATAAGCATTGTTTGAACAAATAATTGTGGTTTTATAGTGGTTAACAGTAATAAATGTTTAGCTTATATACATATTAGAATTAAGTACAATCCTCAGTTTATTTGCAGTACATGTGTAGATTTGAATGGATTTTAACAGAACCTGTTCCACGTTCTGCTGTGTGAGCTAACCTAACCCCTGCTGCTGTTCTTGCAGATCTGCTTCTTCCACAGGCATCCATCACAGATAATATTCCCAGCTGCCTATTGTTGCACGGATGGGAAGCCCAAAATGCAGCGTGACTTGAAGAGATTAATCAAAATTACTGACAATCAGCAGAGCACAATGGAGGTGGACAGAGGCTCTTTGTTTTAAATTGCAATCTTTTCCTGACACAGGAAAGTGGCAGCAGGAAATTGGCTGATCACTTGCAGGTATTCAGTTTTTTGTTACCACGAGGCTCCTCGTGGCTGTGGATGGGTGTGTGAGAAGGTGAGAGGGAGCTTTCCTGGCGTGTGACAGTCCTGGAGAGCTCAGAGAAATTCCACAGCAGCTCGAGCTGCTCCCGGGCAAGGCCGGGCTGCCAAGGAAGTGCTCCGGGCTATTCCCTCTCTTCCCTTTCTCTGCTCTCTGTTTTGTTTTATCTCCCAGAGTTGAACAGGCTTTGCAAGAAGCTCCTCGTGGCTGTGGCAGGGGCGGTTTGTCACAGCCTGCAGCTGTGGCTGAGGCACGAGGGGTGGGCAGGGGCTTGGATTGCTGTGGAACCCTCAGGCCGCTGCAGGCAGGAGATTCACGGCGGGCACAGCTCCTCTCACGGCCCCGTCCCGGCCCTCACTGGGCTCTTGCTCTCTCCTTACAATTTACCATTTTTTCACTTTCTTTCTTACAACAACCCTAGTAAGTGAATGTTTCTAAAGTCACCAAATGTGCCATTCAAAATGCAGTCTCTTTATTCTCAGTAATTTCTGCCCTGTTTCACTCCAGCCAGTTTCTGCCCCTTGGTCCTTCTCTTAGCCTGCTCCCAGCCCAATTTCCAGCTCTGGGCTTTTCCCAGGTCATTCTCCTCAGCTTTGGTCACAACAAGTATGAAAAGCATCTCTTTATTACAGGATACACAAGAACCTCTACTTCAAAACCACAATTCCATCTTCCAAATTGGAGTCACATCCCAAGAATCTCAGCTGGTTCTCCACCTCCTGGAGATGTGACCATGGCAGAGCAGTGCAGGGCTTGCTGACACTCTGTGCTGTCCTCAGACTGAAATATACTCTCTAATGATATCAATTCTATAATTGTGGTATTCAGATTTAAATAGTTCTTTTTAAAACATGAAATTATCCCCTTTTTCCTGGCAGTTGCCAGGCTGCTGCTCTTGCAGCACAGTAATTACCTCTTTCAAAGCCTACAGCAAGTGGCATAATTTATTTCAATTGGCTGCTCAGTCTGAGATCTGCCACTGACACCAGGAAGATGTTTCAATTTATTTAAATTTATTTAATTTATTAAAACCAGAGGGTGGCAGCATGACTTAAAATCTCTCTCTATAATGTTCTGTTAAAAATGTCATTCAGCCATAAAATTCATCCCACATTTATGTCGTGACAGTTATTATTCCTGGAGTTCACCTCAAAAAAAAAGTTAAAAGCCCAAGTATTGGTTCACATTTTGAATTTCCTTACCAGTGTCTTCCTCAGTGTAACTCTTGAAACAAACTTTCATTGGAGTTACTGACAAGGTTATTTCTTCCTGGCTGGTTGGGAAGTGGATCATCACATCAGCCAGCAGCCTAGAAAATGTCATTCAACACTAAAATATTTCTATCTATGGCTATTTAGCATTTATTACATTAGAAAGTAAAACTCAAAACAATATTTCTGTGTTTGTTACCTGGAGTGGACTTTAAGAATGTTTGGACACATGTGCTTTGCAAAAACAGCCTGCAAGGGATCACACTCCTGAAATGTCAGGTTGTAGGTTTTTACAACACCTGAGGATGAAGGAAATGAACAGAAATCAGTGCTTGGCTGTAATTTTAAGTGGTTTTTTTAATATTAATTGTTCAATAGAGGGAGTAACCAAGTGACTTAGTGCAGCTATATGGAACTAAGTCACCACAAAGAGGAAGAGGAATCCACCTGCCATCCTAGACTCCCTCCATCCCATCAGCTGTGCCTGGACAGCATCTGAGTTTTTTTAAGGACCCACAAGAAATAAACCAACAAATGCAGGGTGGGAAACAGCCCCAGTAATTAACTGGTAAAAGAATACAAATGGGAGTGGAAAGCAGAGCACAAACCCCCAGATCTCTGCCCTTCTGGGTGTGGGGTGCCAGGGGAGCTCGGCTGCCTGCAGAGCTCATTCAGTGTATGAGCCCAAACCAGTAACCCCAGCTGGATTACTGACACCAACCACTGCCTGCAGCACAGCACAGCTCTGGGGGGAGATGGTGTTGCTTTAGGAATTTTGCAAAGGCTGATGCTGATTCCCAGAGGTGCTGGGCTGGGGATGACAGGCCTGTGTTGACAATGGCATTAATTGCTGAGGTTCTCACTGCCCTGAGCTTACCGTGCCTGCAGAGCAGCTGGAAGGTGATGTGCTGCTCACTGGGGCTCCTGGAGATGCTGCATTTCTCCACATTCCTTTCCAGCACATTTACACATCTAAACACAGGGAGAACTGACTGGAAAAATAAAAAAATCGGTGCAGAGGTTGATCCCTGAGCAGCTTTGCAATAAATATAATTTCCCTGGGTTTGTGCCCTGGTTTAGCCCAAGCTGCTGCTCTTGAGGCTTCCCCAAACTGCTCTGGGGACACTGGGAGAGCCCAGGCTGATCCTCACCCATTTAACCCAAACTGGGTTAATTTGCTGCTGTGTGTAACAACTGACTAAAATGTACCTTAATTATCAATTTACAGGGCAGGGATAACTGCTTCTCCTTCTGACAGGGCTGGGGCAGAGCTGTGCAGCAATACTGCTGGAAGAACATGGATGAGAAGAACACACATGCATATGCTGACCTCGAGGAATTCACTGATCTCAAGGCAAGCTGGAAAGGGAAGCACAGAGTCATTAGGGCTGGGAAAGACCTCCAACATCACTGCATCCAAGCACTGAGGGAACAGAAGTAAAATATTTATTAACTCAAAACTTGAGCCTTTTTAAAAAAAACCTCCTCTGGGCTTCAGTGCCACCAGCAAGCCTGGAAATTTACATCTCAAATTTTTTTAAAAAAAAATTAAAATGTCTTTTTATCTGATTTTAATTTTTTAAAATAAAAATAATTGAGTTACCCAAACACCCAGAGCTCAGCTTGTGTTTGAGGCATTTGAGGGGCATGATCCATACAGATGAGCAAAGACACCTCAAATGTTCTTCAGGTATAAAACCAAATATCTCCACTTGTGATTTTCCATCCTCCCAGTGAGCCAAGGACAGCTGATCACTTTTACCTAAGAAACCTCTGGAGAAAACACTAATTCTGCTGGAAATGGTGCTTGGTTAATCAGAGGCATTAATGGATGTGTTCTTCCTGTTGAGTCACAACAGTACAAAACATGTTGTTTTCAGAGGCAGCTCCTGTGTGGTACAAAACTCAAACCTTGTGACCTGTGACAACAGAACTGCACCCTGTGGCACTAATCCAGATATCCTGGACAACAAAAAATCAAAGGATCTTAGGGCAGAGCAGGAATTAAATCTTCCATGATGGAATCTGCGTAATTACAATCACAGAACTGTGATGGGATGGACTGAAAGGCACCTGGAGAAAAACACAATATCCACTAGTATAAATATTTGGCTTATAATAAAGAATTTTAAATTGGAAGAAATAAAATTCACTTACACCTTTTTCTACGGGGTCAAACCAAAATTCATCACTAATCCGTGCTATGGCATGTATTGCTCTTCCAAACACTGCCAGGGAAGGAAAACACTGCAATATGCATTCTAAATTAAAATAAAAAGGTAGCACTGCACTTTCTCCAGAATAATCTAAGAGGAAACATTGTAATTTTCTCATACATTTGAAAGAAAAGGGATGGTGGAAACTGTCACTTTTTAATTAATATTTTAATTATCCAAACCCTCGATGTTTTGGAAATCTGCCTCTCATGAGGCACCTGGGATGTCGTGTGTCCCTTTGCAGCACCTGGAGTTACCACAAATGAAATCAATCAGACAAAACTCCACCACGGGGGCTAGGAATGGCATTTAGCAGACGGAAAGCCTGGGAATAAGGGGACATCTGGGGAGATGGAATCAAAAGAGACCCAGCGGGGCCCAGCAGAGGGCCTGCGGATCTGCCTCCGGCAGCGGCGGGGCAGCTTTGGGCACGGAATGCCGCAGCCGGGAGCGGAGCTGTGCCCCGCAGGTGCACCGGGGGCCCGCAGCCGGGAGCGGAGCTGTGCCCCGCAGGTGCACCGGGGGCCCGCAGCCAGGCCCCGGCTGTCCCCAGACCGGTGCACCGGGGGCCCGCAGCCAGGCCCCGGCTGTCCCCAGACCCCGCACGGCCGAACAAGCCCCGGCCGCGCACAGCGCCCGCCGTGAGGGAGAGGCGGATCCCCCGCCCCGCTCCGCTCCCGGCGCTCGTGTTCCGCCCCGGGCCCTGCCGGGATGCCGTGCTCCCGGTGTCCCGCACCGATCCCCGCCTGTGCCGGGCTCCCCGGGCCGGGCACCTCGGAGCTGCGGCCCCCCGATCACGCACTTCATGGCCGGCCCCTCTCCCCTCACGGCCGCCCCCCCTCTCCCCTCACGGCCGCGGAGGGCGGGAAACGCCGTGAGGGCGGGGAGCGCGCGGAGCCCCGGATGCGGAACCCCGGGGTTGTGGAATTGTGGAATGAATTATGGAATTGTGGAATTACGGAACTGTGGAATTAGGGGTTGTCCCGAGTTACCCGCAGGGATCTTCAGCCCAACCCCTGGCGCTGCACAGACACCCCGACAGTCCCACCCTGCGCGCTCCTCAGAGCTCTGTCCAGCCTCTCCCGGAGCTGTGGCAGCCTCAGGGCTGTGCCCATCCCCTGAGCCTGCCCAGCACCCTCTGGGGAGAACCTTTCCCTGATCTCCAACCCAACCCCCCTGACACAGCTCCAGCCGCTCCCTGGCTCTGTCCCTGTCCCGGGGCAGAGAGCGGAGCTGCCCTCGGCAGCCCCAGCCCAGGGACAGAGCCGGGGAACGCCCCGACCCAAACGGAGAGAAGAGCTGAGCGTGGCACTAATTACCACGGGAGGCAAGAGAACCGTTACCGATAGAATACTAATTAATAAGAGAACTATGTCGCTTGTAGCCAATGAACAACAATCCTTTTGTTTCCTAAAATGCATAAATAGTAAAAAGAATTGATAGTCGGGGCGCTTGGTTTGTGGGAGACCACGGAGCGCCCAGGCTTGCGAGACTTTGAAATAAATAATCAGTGTTTGTCTGTGTCTGTCTGTCTGTCTCTCTCTCTCTCTGGTCGTTATCGGCTCGTTTTGGGAACAACTCTCGTTTCACCTGTGTAAAAACCCGACTGTGTAAAAACCCAGCCGGCGGAAGGCGGCACGGACGCGTTCGGCGCTCTGTTGTCCCTTCGCAGGCGCCGTAGCGGGGGCGGCGCCGGGCGGTGTCGGGAGGGCCGGAGCGGAGCGGGCGCGATGGTGAGAGCGGGGGTACAGCCCTGGGACCCCCCGGGACCCCCTGGGACCCCCCGGGACCCCCGGCACGGCCTCAGCAGCCGCGCCCGACCCCGCCGGGCTGCGGCAGAGCGGGCGGGAGGGCGCTCCCCAGCTGAGGCGAGGCCCCCAGGGCGGTGAGGGCCGGGCCGTGACTGCAGCAGCTCCGTTTATAATTTAATTTTATCGTAATCGCATTAATAATTTTATTTTTTTTTAAAATTTTAACGCTTCTTTCATAACATCGACGGTTCATGAATTATGATTTGCCCGTTCATTTGGCTGTGTTTTCTCTTGTGTTGCTTCCTCTCGTTTAACACTGATCATGTTCCGCCCTGTTTCTCATCCCCCGCCATCGGCTCCTTCATTCCCGCCAGGCCGGGCACAGAGTAAGTCACTCCTGGGCTCTCGCTACCCCCTGGGCCGGGCTGGCTCGTGTTGCTCCCTGCCGCTGGCTCGCGGCTCACATCAATCCCAAAACCCAGGTGTTTTGTTATTTTTCACCGCTGCTTTGAGCTCCGGAGAGGTGCGGGGATTGAACCCTGCGGTGCTGCTCGGTTTGGTTCCTGCAGCGTGCCGAGCTGTGCTGGAAGGAATGGGAGCTGAGATGTGGATTTGGGGAGTGTGGGGCTGGCGTTTGGTCAGCAGGGGATTTCTGTGCTGCCTCGGTGGCTGTGTGAGGGGCAGGATTGTTTTATTAAACATCAAACACATGACTGGTACTGCACACTGGAGTCCCTCAGGCAGCAGGGAGACAATCCATCTATTGCCCTTATTAACCCAGATCACTGCTACCCACTTGTTACTCTCCAAACACCATCAAAAATGTCTTTTTTTTTTTCTTCCCTTCGTGGTTTCATTTTAAATTGGTCACTCATTAATTAAAAAGGTTTTGTATTACCAATACTTAACCATCTGCCTCCAGATGGGTTTGATGGTGGCACTGAGATGTCCTTAATCTAAAAAAAAAACCTAAACCAATGAAAAACCCTACCCAAGCTCCTCTGCCTTCTTGAGCACTGTTAGCCTGAAGGTAACTGCACGGCCTGAAATCCCATGAGGGGAAAAAATCTTTAAAAATACAATTTCCTAGCCTAGTTATATTTGTTTCTAGAAATAAATCTGGGCTGTGTCCTTCACCTTTACATTTGAGGGTGTCATTTTAGGAGCTGCCTCACTAACATGAAGTGGAAGATAAAAATCTCTTTATGTGGAGCCATTCTTTGAGTGTCCCCAGGTCCAGGGTTTTCCCAGAGCAGAGCCATAACATTCCCTGCTTTATAAAGCTCATGCCCTTTTTGCACAATTAATTTGCCCTGTGTTGCTTGCATTGTTGCTTTATTTGCAGATTTCAAGCCTGTGCTCTTAAGCCATGGCCTTGCATCATCTCAGTCCTCAATTTTGAAGCCCCATTTTTATTCTGGCATCTGAAGCTGTAAATGCACAGAAGTGGTGGCAGGAGCACTGTGCAGGGACCTGGATTGGCCTCTCTGCAGTGCCCTGTTTGTATTTTGTTGTTATTTTTCAGCCTTGCTCAGTTTTTCAGTGGTTTCCACCATGAGGACTCTGAACACTTTTCCTCTTCTGGTCAGCTATTAACACATATTGCAAATTTGCTGCTTTTTAAAAATATTATTTTGTTTTTTTTCCTTAGTAAGGGGAGAAAAACTTGGATGAAGTATTTTTGAGAGAAGTGGCTGCAGTTTAGCCAGGCCTATGCTTGGAAAAGATTTAAGTTAGAGAGAAACAACAGTGGGGTGCTTTATGGCAGCTCCCAAATTTGTGTAAAATACCTCAGGCAGCACAAGAGGAACGTGTTAACAGTGCAGCCACTGCAGTGCTGGCCTTCAGCAGCAAACCATAACTTTGTAGAGCTGTTTGTGAGCCCCCTCTGCTCATGGCCCGCTCCCCATGGGACAAATCCCATCAGCACTGCCCCCTCAGTGCCCCTCGTGGGTGCAGGTGGCAGTGCTGGCTGTGCCCTAACCCTGGTGTCCCCTCTGTGTCCGTGTGTCCCCTGCTGCCCTGCAGTTGGTGCTGGTGCTGGGTGACCTCCACATCCCCCATCGCTGCAACAGCCTCCCTGCCAAGTTCAAAAAGCTGCTGGTGCCTGGCAAGATCCAGCACATCCTGTGCACGGGGAACCTCTGCACCAAGGACACCTATGACTACCTCAAGACCCTGGCTGGGGATGTCCACGTTGTCAGAGGGGACTTTGATGAGGTAGTGTCTGGTTTTTTTTGGGTATTTTTAATGTTTTTTTTACATTTGGAGTTTGTTCAAGTGGTGGAGTGAGTTCCTGAGCTCTGCCCTTGTGGGTGTTGGGTTTAAATAGAAATCTGTCTAATCTGGGTTTGGTTTATTCTCTTTATTTTTAGAACCTGAATTATCCTGAGCAGAAAGTTGTGACTGTTGGACAGTTCAAAATTGGGCTGATTCATGGGCATCAGGTGATCCCCTGGGGTGACATGGCCAGCCTGGCACTGCTCCAGAGGCAGTTTGATGTGGACATCCTCATTTCAGGACACACACACAAATTTGAGGCATTTGAACATGAAAATAAATTTTATATCAACCCAGGATCAGCTACAGGAGCCTACCATGCCTTAGAGAAGTAAGTGACTATTGGGGGGATTTTTTGGGTTCTTTTTGTACAAAACTGAACTGCAAACTCCTGAGGGTCAATATTTCTGATTGAAATGTCAGGGAGAGGATAGTTAGAGTTGTGTAACTCACACAGCTCTACTTGCTCAAGCTCCTGGACTGAAAGTTGAAATGCTCACAGCCTCAGATCTCATGTGCTGCACTTACAGAATTAATTCTCATTTTTCTTGAAGTGATTTCTGAATATTGGTAAAACACTGAGGGGGTTACAGACACACAATCATAATGAACTCTTTCCTCTTTTTCCAGCAACATCATTCCCTCATTTGTGCTGATGGACATCCAGGCTTCTACAGTAGTTACATATGTCTATCAACTAATTGGAGATGATGTGAAGGTAGAAAGAATTGAGTACAAGAAATCCTAAAAAATGTTTTTGCTTGTCTGGTATTTTTACCATCTCCTGAACTGCAAGTTCCAAAACTTGACTGCTCGTTTACAGCCCTGCACTGTCTCTAACAGCTTAACAATGTAACTTCTTGTCATGAATTTAAACAACCTCGTGTTTGCTTTTCTCTGTATGATTTGTAAAGTATTCCATTAAGATAACTGTCTGAATACTGTTCCTTAATGTTGTAATAAACTCCACTTCACAGAAAAGCTGAGCTTGGAGAGGTGGTGTTGGGGAAGAATGCAGCAGTTGTGGTGCTTTGGTGTTCCCCTGCCAAGGGATGCTTGGACAGGGCTGGAACAGAGATTCAGGGCTCTGGGACCAGGCTGGGCTTGCTCCAGAATCCACTTTATATTTCATTGTCTCAATTTACCATTCTCAGCTAAGTTCAAGGAGTAAAATGGCTTGATAGACTGAAAGGGTTACAGTTACCTTGTAATTTCACTGTAGAGTTTGAGTCTTTTTCTGATCAAAGCACTTTCCAATCTCCCTGTGCTTTCATGAATGATGATCTCATCAATCTGTAACCAGTGAGGTTTCCTTTATTTGTGGCTCACACCTGACACTCCATTTCTTGTGCTCCTTGCACAGAGGCTCTCAATGCTGTAACTCCATGTGACTCTTAAAGCTGAAGATAAATCTGGGTTGTTCACGGAGCAGCTCCTTGTGGCTCCTGTTCCCACAGCTCCAGGGACCTGAATGTATTTAACAGCTCCCCTTTCTCACAACTGCTGTAACTTTCCAACAAAACAGATTTTTATCTTTTGTCTCCCCCAGCAGAATGTTTAGCATGGGGGCAGTTTCCTTGGCCTTGGGATTATGACACTTCCATCAGGTGGAACCCTTCTTTCTGTGTCATGAGCTGACTGAATGACTCATTTCTATTCAAAATAAACCTGCTTTGCCCTGGACAAAAAGACATTTCAGGCTGGTGTCTCAAGAACCTCTGGCTCATTGCACTTCATGCAGTCAGAGCAAAGGTGAAAAGAAAACCTTGGCATGTGATTCAGGGAATTCCATTGACTGGAACATCCATTTATTGACAAACTCATAATTAAGAGGTTTATAGACTATTGTAAGGGGCCAAAATGGATGCATAAGTTTATTTATTTTTAATTTACACTGTGAAGCTAAAATTTACACGTTTATTTATACTGTAAGGCCAAAACTGATACATAAGTCTGTAAAGTTACACTTACAATTTGTCTACAAAGTATTTTACATGAACCACAGCCCCTGCAGTTTTATCAAAGCCTGTCCCAGTGGTGACAAGGTTCTGTTGCTGTGGATGACATCTCAGAGTGCCCCTGACAGCAGGCCTGAACGTGAGGGAATACAGAAGGAAAGGAAATAAGCTTTACTCCTTCCCAAAAGTTAAAGTGCTGAGTATGAACTGATGGCTCCAAACAGGAAATTCTGCTGTGAGCCTGAACTGCTTTTGTGGGGGTGGAGAATGGAGGAGAAGCAGCCTAGAACAGCTGGAAAAGCTGGAGAGGTTGTGGGTGCTCCTGGTAAAAGCTTTGGGGTTTTGGTCTGGTGTTCTCCTGAGCAGTACAAGAGTTGTGAATGCACAGCCCAACCTCCTGCCAGGAGAGGGAGGAGGGAAAAGGGGAAATCAATTTATGGCACTTCCAGGACACAGGACCCCTCTGATCCATTCAGGTACACCTGGAAGGTCAAAGAACAACATTAATAGGGCTTAGGAAAATGGGATGTGATCAGGACACAGATGTGGTTCAGGTAAAATGAATTATTTGAATGAATGAAGGGATATTTTG